TTTGTAAAGATGTTCGCCAACTGTGAATCTGTAGGAACATATGAGGGAGCAATAGTACCATCTATAATGACATCTCGAACAAAGTGACAATTAACCTCGATGTGTTTTGTTCTTTCATGAAAGACTGGATTTTTAGCATTGTGTAAAGCTGACTGACTATCACAAAACAAAGGAATTGCCTTGGGATGATGCACTCCCAAGCTCAGTAATAAACCTTTCAACCATTTCAGTTCACAAGTCGCGGCTGACATAGCACGATACTCTGCATCTGATGACGATGTTGCCACTGTAGGCTGTTTCTTTGTCTTCCATGAGATCAGAGATTGGCCTAAAAACAATAACCAACCTGTTACAGATCGACGAGTGATTGGACAAGTAGCCCAATCTGAGTCACACCATCCTTGAAGAGTCAAAGTATCTAACCACACGCAAAGCTGCATCCCAATGCTCTACTTGGGGACACTGCATAAATTGAGCTAAAATATGCACAGAATAAGCTAGATCCGGTCTTGTCACAGCAAGATAAACCAACCGACCAACAAGTCTACGATAAGCCTCCGGATCTATAAGCAACTCTCCCTTCGCATGACCCAATCTGTGATGTTGTTCCATTGGAAAGGCACTAGGCTTAGCACCTGTCAAGCCAACTTCAGAAATGATGTCTAGCGTATATTTACGCTGACATAGAAATAAACCTTTCGCACTCCTAGCAACCTCAATGCCAAGAAAATATTTCAAGGGCCCTAGATCTTTCATTTTAAAACAATCTCCCAAATATGCTTTGAAAGTCAATAACGCAGCGGAATCATTGCCAGAAATAATCAAATCATCAACATAGACTAACACATTAATCTGAACTTGCCCCCTAGTGAATGTAAACAAGGAATAATCAGAGTAGGATTGGAGAAACCCGTACCCTTTCAGAGCTGCAGTAAGTTTTGCATACCAGCAACGTGGAGCTTGCTTCAAACCATATAATGACTTACGTAGTCTGCACACCAATTTTGGATTCGAGTGTTCAAATCCCGGGGGTAATTTCATGTACACCTCCTCATCCAAATCTCCATGTAAAAAGGCATTATGCACATCCATTTGATGTATTTCCCAATTCTTCGAAGCTGCTATTGCCAAAAATGCTCGTATAGTTGTCATCTTCGCTACTGGAGAAAAAGTCTCATTGCAGTCAATACCCGCCTTTTGTTGATTGCCAAAGACCACCAAACGCGACTTCAATCTCTCCTCTTTGCCATTAGACAAATACTTGGTCTTATAGACCCATTGACTACCAAGAGCACGTTTCCCGGGAGGTAACTCTTCCAAGGTCCAAGTTCCATTATTTTCTAAAGCTTGGATCTCTTCTTGCATTGATTTTCTCCAACCTTCATGCCTCATTGTGTCCTTGAATGACCTCGGATCATGACCCGAAATAATTGCTGCCAAAAATGTACGGTATTTGACAGAAAAATTATCACAATTAATATAGTGTGCTATAGGATACGGGGTACCTGATTTGTGCTGTGGAAGCGGTGTAGGCGAAGATGGACTTTTTGCAATTACTGTATGAGTTACATAATCCCTTAAGAGAACCGAAGGAGTTTTCACTCTCAAACCCCTACCCAATTCCTGCTGCCCAAACGAACCAGAAGACTCAGAGTGAGTTGCGGTCTGGTGGCTGGTAGGAGTAGCAGTGCTCGGCGCTGTGACCTGCTGCTGCTGACTGGGACGAGCTGCAGTGCTGCGCTGCTGCCGCCGCTCATGAGGCTGTAACTGGCCCTGCTGCTGGTGCAGGGGCTGGTCTGTTGCAGCGGGCGCTGGTCGGCCAGCGGGCTGATCAGAAGCATAGCCTTGCTGGTCGGCCAGGGCACTATCGCTCGAGGGATCTACTTGCAGCACTATGTCTTCGACTATAACCTCCTGACTACCTTGATCATAAAAATCATCATCGACCACTACATCATCATACATTGGGACCACACTCTCTGGCTCAATATTCACCATAGTTGAATCCAAAAATGGGAAGACATTTTCAAAGAACTTTACATCCCGTGACACAAAAAAATTTCTCTTGTCAAGATCATACAAATTCCACCCTTTTTTTTGCCAAATGGATACCCCAAAAAAATACATTTCCTACTACGACTCTCAAACTTATCACCCTTCGTGTTTTGATTGTGGGCAAAGCATAAGCAACCAAAGGTTTTGATGACATTGTAAGAGGTGGGAAAGCCAAATAAAATTTCAAAAGGAGTTTTATTGTGTACCAAAGGGGATGGTGTTCGGTTAATAAGATGAGCAGTTGCCAAAACGCACTCACCCCAAAAATAAATCGGCAAGTGAGCCTGAAACCGTAAAGCACGGGCTACATTTAAAATGTGTTTATGTTTTCGCTCAACCCTACCATTTTGTTGTGGTGTCCCAACACATGATGTAAAAAACAAAATGTCAGTAGCAGAAAAATAATCACGCAAGCAATTAAATTCCGTACCATTATCACTCTGAACAATTTTTATCGTTTGAGAAAATTGACGATCAACCATAGCAGTAAAATTCATAAAAGTACGAAAAACTTCCGTTTTATCATCCAATAAATACACCCACACAACATGAGAAAAATCATCAACAATAGTCAAGAAATATCTAGCCCCACAAGATGAAGGATGCCTATAGGCACCCCACAAATCACAATGAACTTTTTCAAAAATACGACTAGCTCTATTGTCACTAGACGGAAATTTGTCCCTAGGATGTTTAGCACGGAAACAAACTTCACAATTTTTATTCAAATTACCCTTAAAATCAACTACAGGAGGAAGTAACTTTACTACATTCTCTGAAGGGTGCCCCATCCGTTTATGCCATAACTCCATAGAAGAATTTGCTCCATTTGCCGTAACATGTTGCACCGAGTCAGCTTCTCCGAAGTAGTAAAGTCCATCTTGCCTAATTCCCGTTCCAATCAGCATCCCCGTTTGGTCCTGTATAGCACACAAAGAAGAATTAAATTTTACAGTACAATTCAAATCTTCAATTAATTGTGAAATCGAGAGCAAATTGCAACTCAATTGCGGCACATATAAAACATGATTAAGAGTAATTGAGGCCGACAATTGAATCGACCCTTCCTTCTTTGCAAGCACAGTTCCACCATTGGGAAGACCAACGGGACAATGAATAATATCAGTGACATCAAATAACCAAGTCTCATCTCCGGTGACATGATGCGTCGCGCCGGTGTCAATGATCCATCTTGTGGAATTAAACTTACCATTCAAACGGTTGTCAGGAATTTTTGTGTTACCAAAAAATCCCGCAATTGCCTTCCATTGGTCAGGGGTAAAAATCTGATTGGATGAATCCGACTCCGAGGTGTTGCTGCCAGTGGTTGATCCTCCAACATTGCTACTTGAAGACGTATTAGCTCGTACAGAACCATGCCCCCTGCCTTGTGTGCTGCCTCTGCTACGCCCAGCCCCATCAGACTTGGGCCTATCAAACCATCCTTCAGGGTAGCCATGAATTTCATAGCACCCACTCACATCATGTCCGCGTTTTTTACAGTGCGTACACACCGGCAAACCCCAACAACTTGAAGCATCATGGCCTGAACGTTGACACTTGGAGCATACCTGTCTGTCATTCCCCTTGCCACGCCCACGGCCAACACCGTTATTTGCGTTGAGGGCAAAACCAACTGCCTCCGATGGCTTATCTTCAGGGACAGCTTTGGCGAGTCGAACCCGTTCATCTTGGATGACCAATTGGTATGCTCTATCAATCGATGGCAGAGGATCTTGTGAAAGAATGTTTGCCCGTAACTGAGCATAATACTCGGAGTAAAGCCCCATAAGGAACTCATGAAGTCTAGCCGTTTCCAGTCTCCGAGCGTGCAATTCCCCAGCATTGCAATGTGAACAGCAAGAACAAACAATCGGAGGTTCATGACGATAGAGCTCCTCCCACAAGGCATTTAATTGCCCATAATAAGTTGAGACAAAAATGGATTTCGTCTGTTCACATCTCACAATTGAGGACTTCAATTGATAAATTCTCGGACCATTAACCAGAGCAAATCGTTGCTGTAGATGATCCCATAGCTTCTTTGCTTCGCGATATTTCGTCAGGGTAAACTTGACCTCCGGATCAATTGTGTTAGTTATCCAAGACACTAACATTGCATTAATGGTATTCCAGCCCGACTGTGTACATGGAGGGGTCGAACCAATGATAGTGCCATCTAAAAATTCGAACTTGCGCCGCGCCTCTAACGCCATACGTATATCGGCAGCCCAATCATCATAGTTATCGCCTTTAAGACGAGTCGGGGTTATAAAATCACCTGGTCGATCTTGCGATCCTAGGTAAAACGGAGAATTCGGTTCTATTTTGGACGGTGGTGGAGGTGGTGGTGGTGTATTACCAACCATGGTTATAATTTACTGAAAAAATCAAGGCTCGGATACCATGTGAACTATTGATTAAAAACAATATGCTTGACTGTATTCATGGCTCTAGGCCGAATTATATAATATGATGTACAAGATAAGTTTGGCAAGAATATTGATAATATTATCTACTTAACATAAAACTATCCTGCCAACTAAGAGTATCTAAATCAAATCTTCAACATATATCATATATCGTAACAAGGTGGGATTATTAGAATAAATTTTTCCTTCTTTTTAATAATTATGCTTTTATGAGTCGTATCAGATTACTAGTGAAAGAAAAACTAGTTTGGAGCCCGGACGCTAGCTCGGATTATGTTTAAATACAAAATGAAAAATTATCTTGAATTTAAATAATATTTTGGAATCAATACCCTAAGTTTAAATAATAAAATAAAAATCGTAAAATTAGTTGGGGATGTAAAACTGTTTTACAATTAAGTAAGGAATTACGTGTAATGCTTTAGTTACAATTTTCATATATAAATGTTAATTAAGTGATGAGAGTGAGGGATAGCTCAAGTAGTTAGAGCTATCCTCCCGGTTCCAAAATTGTTAATGGCGTTAGTGATTCTACCATGAACAATGCACATTTTTGATAATATCGCTAATAGTGTTAACGGTTATATAGTGTAAAATTTTTGTTATTCATTTACAGTTTTATCATTAGATAAACACATGATATTTGCCAAAAGATCAATAAGGGCGCCCACCATTAATACGAGTTACTTCTTCCGGCTGTCCTCTGATTCCAAATTTCCAACCATACCCAAAATAAACAAAAAAAAAAAAGAAAAAAAAAAAAAACTTTCCAGTTCCAAAATTGAACTTACAACATCATTACTTTAGATAGTACAAAAATGGCGGTATCCTACTGGTTCACGTCATCACCTCTCCAAAAATTTCCGTCATTTTCATCATCATTCCAAACTCAAACTCCATCTCTTCAACTTCATCATCATCATCATCGTAGTCGTAGCAATTCTACAAGTTTCGTCGCTGAACCAATTCATCGTAGAAATCATATTTGTTGTAAGCAACAGTTTCGCCGCCATAGCCGTGATCTTCGTGTTCGCTGCAATCTTGAAACTCCTATTAATCTTAGTGGAACCACTGATTCTACTTCTATCCAAGTTTACCGCGATTTTGAGAGGTATACTATTCTTTTTGCTTTATAATTGCTATAAATGTTATTTATTATTATAATTGTTTTCAGTTTAATTTGATTGAGGTTGCACTTTGGTTCAATTTTATGTTCCGAATTTGGAAGTTAAATTTTTATTGTAAGGGTTTGTGTTCATTTGCTGATTTTGATTTCATTGTTTGTCTGTCTTTGTGCATGTTTTGTTTGGATGGTCAATTTCAGAATTAGTAGAGGTTTTGGTGAGGTTGAATTTCTAGGAATTGTAATTGTTTGTGATGTTTGGTCGACAAATTCATAGGAAGTAGAAATTGGTAGAAAATTTCAAGTCTTACAAAATGGACCCAACTTAATTACCTAGGTAAGTAGAACTAACCATCCAATGTTAAACAAACAATATTAAGCATTTCCTAAGAAACACAATAACACATGAAGATAGATTTCTTAAGAATTTGCACTTCCTACATTCATCCAAACAAGCACTAAATTAAGTAGTAATCTCTATGATGATTTATCAAAGGAATAACAATATAATTTCCTTTCTGTTTCTGCCTGAGAAATATGGTAGGAGGGGATCGGGAATTCGGATGAACTGTCTATATGCAAGACGAACAAAGTTAACTTAAATAGATCGCCCCAATTTCCTTTTTGGTTGTCCCTTTGAGTTTGTCTCATAACGTTTTTGGTATGTTGTCTCCGCGTGTGTCTCCACTACTATTTCTAATAATAGTAGAAAAACACAACCCACTTGCATCTATTTTTCCCTACTCTTAAAGTAGTTATTAAAAAATAAATCATTCTGGCCTTCTAAAAGGGACTGAGGGAGTATCAATAAGCTCTTTGGGAATAAAGAAGATGTCATCATGTCAAGATATAACTTAATACTTCACTTATGGAATAGTACATGAACCACGGGTTACTCGCTTGGTAAGGTTTTTGTGTCCTTGAGAGAAGGTTGGTGCTTATGTTACATGTTGTTTCGCGTTTAGATGGTGGAGAATATAACTTTGGGAGTGATGAACTATATTTGTGCTGAAGGGCTGTTTGCTTGAGACGTAATGCGTTCAGTCTTGATTTATATTTTTGACTCGCTTGTACATATGATGTATATTTTCTTCTTATTATAATGAAAGGAAGTTAATGTGGGTTTTTTTCTTTAACTTAGTGAAACTTTGTTTGGCTCTTTTTAGTCACGTTAGTCTTGTGCTAATTCCGCTTATTTTATCACGAGATTGGTATAGTACTCTAGAAGGATCCTAGAGCCTTGTCATTCCTTATGAGGAAAAATGGAGAGGAGCACACCTTGACAGAGTAACTGTTTATTTGTTTTCACTTTTCAGTCAAAAGGTCAACTGCAATTACATATATTCATCATTATTTTGCACTCTTAGACTTCTACGTGGAGATTAAGAATTAATGGGTTGAGAGAGATTATGTTATCTATCGAGACAACCAATAAACTAACGTGTACCTAATGGTATGGATTCTATGGAATGGAGTATAAAATATACTTTATTTTCTCGAGAATTTATAATACGCATTGAAATGTCACATATTATAAAAATTTGACATCCATATGCTATTTTTTTTGAACTTTTACAAAAACGAGAGGAGGAGATTTACCTTTTGTGCTAAATCACCTTCACCTCAAGGCAACCTACTAGTGATTTCTCTTGCACCCTATTGCCCCCACCAGACACCCACAGTTCTTAATGTCCTCGAGTTTTTAAGATGGCTAATTTACTTTCACATGGCTTTATTTGTTCATTGAAAGAGATGTGAGGCATCAAAATCTGTAGTTTCTTTTATAAGGTTGATTTTTATAAGAAAAAAATGTCTGTTGTAGGATTCAATTATAAGGGTAGTGATTTCATGTGTCTACATGCTACTTTTCCTATGATTGCTCATTATCTTACTAGAAACTTAGCGTGTAACATAATATGTCAATGCCACTCATCAAAGTGAAATCTTGAATTAAATAGACCAACAGATCTTTTTCCCCCTTGCAGATTAATTACAGAAACAGTAAAACAATCACAAGATGCCTGGGGTGGAGCTAGCAATTGGAGTGAAGTTGAGGTGCCGTCACATTATTTTGTGCAACTTGAAATAGTAAATGGTCATAGGTTCTATGTTTGACAATTGAGATTTGATATGCATCCTTAATGAGATTTTCACAAGTTCTAGAATCTTAGTTATTCCAAAATTAGCGGTTATTTATCTTTTTCAATTAGTGGTTGGTGAAGTAACAACGAGGTTCTTTGTGAATGTCAAGAACTCCCTCTGTCCCTTTTATTTGCCCTTAAACCTTTTGTTAAAGTTATTATGCAAGTACCAAAAAAAAAGAGGGGGGGGGGGATGTGAATGTGGGATCAAACTCAAAACTCAAAGTAGAGAGGATTAGAAAAAATTTGCTGATGCAGTCATGAGTTCGGTAACAATAATCCGATTGAGGCAGAAAGGACTTTATAAATAACTCTATAAATTATTAAACATATTTTGGTCAACCTAAAATTAGAATGGATGTAACGGGTGAAAATTTTTGTTCTAGCACAAAGTACGATGAGTCACACCTTTGTAACAGACAAAGCGGGGAGAAAGACGTGCTTTCTGTGTTCAATTAATGGGATTTTGTAGAACTGAAAACTTTAAAATATGTAACAGGTGGAACGACTGGGTTTTGCAAAGCAGCAATTCCAAATTCCTATACAAATTCCAAATTCTGGAATGGCCGAATTTTACTTTTGTGATTGGGACATCAAATTAAGGAGAAATTGGGTGCGGGGGGGGGGGGGGGGAATAATTAGGGATGAAGGAAGCCATATTAACATGACATGGGTTGATTAAAGTAGGAATATGTGATATGTATTAGTTCTTACAACGTTATTACTTCAAAGCTCATATAATGATATAATTAAATTCTTAATGCTATAAGGTTTTTAAAATTTTCAAAATATTCTTTCTTATAGCTTTATCATCTAGATGTCTCATTGAAAATTTTTGGTCGGAACTTCAATAAGCTAACTTAATCATATAATACCTAACAGTATTTTATTTTTATAAAATCGATAAATTCTTAGGGTATGGCTCACATATCTTCCTTTCCCTTTTTATCCTTAACCCCTTTATGGCTTTTTTTCCCTCCTTGCTTGTACCATATTAAATAAGATGCAGCCTTCTTTATCATTCCTTTGTTCTCTACTTCTCTTGGTTCACTTGGCTTGATTTTCCAGCTAGTAATTCTATTCATTTATAGGGGATTATGTATGGTAATTTGTTGGCTGTTAGTTTTTTACTTTTTTTTTTTTTTTTTTTTTTTTTTTTTTAAAGTGATAAAGATTTCCAGATTTTGGCTGGAAAAGCAACCCCCCCCCCCCCCTCTCTCTTTTATGCTCAAGTCAATATTCAGTTGATTTGAATTTCATTTATCAACCATTTTATTTGTTTTTTGACACGTTCAGCACATTAACAAGCTAAAGGCCAAAAAGCTAAATGGAAAATTGCCAAACCAATAAGGCCGAGATTCTGTGATTAATGGTTGAAGTAAAAATGCAAGGAGGTTTCCTTGTGTTATTGGAAATCTAAGTGACTAAGTCTATACGTGATCTAAAATTGTTGTCAAGTATTTGGACTTTTGGAGTGTTATAAGGTGAAGAGTGAATCTATGCTGTGATGCGGCTTGATATCAATGTAAAAATATCAATTTCTGCAGTCCAATTTCCTAAACCTTCTAAAACACCCTTCTGTTAAGGGTGCTCAGTCCTGAAGTGTAGTGTTTGATTCAGAATGAAAATCAATGGGATTTTACCTTTCCATAGAACTGTAATGAGTAAGAAATTGATTTGATTCATGTCTTTCTTCGTTTATTTTTGTAAGTACTTATGGAACTAATTTCAAATTGGGGTTGATCTAATGGTGATGACTGATTGTTTCAGTTGTATTGCGAGAAATCTCTGAGCTTGTGCTGTTGTTCTTTTATGGAAGGGGAACCATTGTCTCTTTTAATGCTATTTAAGACTTTTAGACACCTTGCTGAACTCATTGATACTTACATTTGCTTGCTGAAGCTCTCGCTAAGAAGTTGTATCTTTAATGGCAGATAGTCTTTGAATTATGTGGTTGATTAGCAGTTCAGTAACGAGTTTGGATTGCTGTGTGCTCATTGAATTGGATTCAGATAATTTTTTGTTTATCATTATTAACATATACTTAAGGTGTTTTCCTGTGTAATATATGTGCATTTATGACTTGCTGCTGGATGTACATATGTTTTATTTATCTGATTACAAATACTCTTCCAAGTTTGGTTAATCTTTAGTTTTTCAGGGTGCTTGGGTGCTGGGACCAAAACACTCAAAACCATGGTCAGTTGTACATTTTATTGGTGGTATATTTGTTGGAGCTGCTCCACAGCTTGCCTATCGTTATTTTCTTGAACGCCTCTGTGAAAAGTAAGGATACTTTTATTGTAAGACTGATAGAATTTATCATCTTGTAAATATATTAATTCTGTTTATATATGCATATATAATTTAGGGCATGACAGAACATTTTGAATGTCACAGGGGTATATTGGTGATTGCAACACCATATGCTAGTGGATTCGATCATTTTTCCATTGCAGATGAGGTGCAATTTAAGTTTGAACGTTGTCGTCGATCTCTACAGGAAACAGTGAGTTTTCAATGTTATTGTGTTTCTCTTGTTGGCTTGTTGCTATGTAATTTTGCCAGTACATTTATATATATTTTTGGTGTAGGCTGATGAACTTCCTACTTTTGGCATTGGGCATTCACTGGGCTCTGTCCTCCACCTATTAATTGGTATTTCACTATGTATATCTAACGACTATCTCTAATTATTTTCCATCTTCCAACTGTTTTATGATATTGATGTGGTTCTCAGGGTCAAGGTATGCTGTGCAGCGAAATGGGAATGTATTGATGGCATTCAACAACAAGGTACCTTTCTCCTTTGGCCATGTGAATCTGTGACTTAATGTCTATATATTACATCGGGACACAGATGAAATGCTTGTATGCATCTAGAGCTCTTTTAGTTACCTAGTTGGCCAAATCTTTGGATTATTTAAACATGATGTGTGTTGTTGAATGACTTTGCTTTGTCTAATCATTGAGTTGTACCTCAGTAGTTGATCCTCTGCTTTCTTTTAAATGTATCACTTTGACTTTTACACTGTTCATATACTCCATTTTGACTTGCTTTTATGATTTATAGTTAAGGAAAAATTATAGTTGTGTGGGATCAAGTTAGATTCGTATCGGCTTATAATTTATTGATGTCAAATTTATATAATTTTTACATGCTGTAATTAAAGATATTAATGATTGAAATGACAGCGTGTAATGTGCTGTATTCAAAAGAAAACAAAGGCAATATATATATTTTTTATGAGCCTTCAATTTATTTAGCTTTGAACTAAACAAGATAGGATACCTTGCACATGAATGCCCTATCAAACTCACTAACTTCTTGCATGATGTCGACAGAGCTTCCCGACTTCATAAAGATCTGATAAGGCCTTGTTGGTACAATATTGATGCCAAGTAGACCGCTCTATTGCACAAAACTCCCCGCCTCCTCTCTAGGGCTTATGTTCTTAGAATTGATGGTATTTCTCTCTAACCACAGATGCCAAATTATATACCCAAACCAGAGCCATCCACCCCTTGTGTCTCCCTAGTCCAATGTCCCAAATCTGACATAATTTACCTGCAAAATGTAAAAGCACTGAAGGCTTAAATTCTAAAATAATCTAGCATTACTCCTTGCTTGGAAGTACATTTATGGGGACCCTACTTCTTAATGCTTGTCTCCGGGAAAGGACATGGATCATTCTACTTGAAAGTTTCAATTTTATACCACATCAGTCATTTGGCTGTTAAGCCTAATTAAATGTATCATTTTTAAAGATGCTGGTTTTGATATGCCGTAGAAATTGTAGCTCACAGAAAAAGTGTGTTTGAGACTAATTGAAACTGAATTCTATTCTTAGCTTGAGGTCCATTCCAGAGTCTTGTTCATTGTAGGCCTCTTCCTTTCCTCCCCCTTGGTTGATTTTTTATTTTTTTAATTTTTTTTTTCCACTTCAATTTTATACTGGCAATTTATTTTTTTGGTTATTTATGTACTCATGTACCTTTTGTTGTCTGCTTTTTACACTGGCTACATCTACGTATTATTTATTAGTTTTCAGGGTTAAATATAAATTATGCCAGTCCATTGTATTATTACATTGGTTGTGCCTGACCAAACCAACATTACACTATAGATAAAATATAAAAGATGTGCTATTTCTATCCTCCCTCTGCTTCTTATCACTGAGAAATAGTGTTGCTTGTTGCTGAGCTGACAGGACCCAAGCCAAGCTATTCCACTGTTTTCACCTGTTTTCCTTCCAATGACTCAAAGTATGGGGCCACTTCTATCACAAATAGCATCATCAGAGACAATGCGGCTTGGAGTAAGTAGTACTTCAGAGTTTTTGTAGCAATTGCATGCATAAATGTATATATAATTTTCTGTGTGCTTGAGGTCTGTTATTCTCTTCTACATCCATCATTTAAATATTTATGTTTATGGAGCATCACTATAGCATATTAGCAGGGTAGCTTGGTTAAAAACCCATCTTCAATAAAGAAGATTAGATTTCAAAACTTTTTATACTCCTTTTAGAAACAGAATTATGGTAACAAATTGAAGATGCAGTTAATCTTCTCCTAAGAACATAATTTGCTACACATCTTATTGCAAGACTGTTAGCGTTACCTATAGCTGTCGATTCGAGGCAGGTCATGTCAGTCTCGGTTATATATGGGTTGGGTCATGTCAGTCTCGGTCATATATGGGTTGGGTCATGTTGGGTCTGGTTAAGTTCAGTCAGGTTATATCATTTCAGGCTATTTACTCTTTTGAATGCAAATTGAGTTTAAATCGAGTCAGATTCTGGTCAGGTTCATTTTCAGGATACAGTTGTGTCGAGTTGGGTTTAAGGCTGGTTTTTGGAAGGTAAATTTAAGGCCGGGTTAGGTTTGGGTTGGATAACTATCGAATTAGATCAATTTCTTAAGCTCTCAAGCTCAGTTTAAGTTCGGGTTGGATCAATATTAGGTATGCTAAAGTTTGGAGGTGGTAGAGATGGAAACATAGCTTTTTGAATGTTTGAATAAAAGCATGAACTTGTTAGGTTTTTTTTTATTTTTTTATTGTACTTCTAATAAGTTCATGGTTAAGAATGATATTATCCAGTGTCAACAATAATTTGACTATTGATGAACTCAGGCTCTCAGATGGGATAGCTAAGCCACCATCACTTGAGAAAGTCTGATTAGTGTGGATTTTATTCCTTGTAATAGTGTAACACAAGTAACTGCGGTTAGTAAATCAACTTTATTCACTCAGCCAATTTTAGGAATACACTAACATTTGCCTGCTCAATTTCTTTTCTCATCCTTTTTTTTATTATTTTATTTGAGAAAGGGGCAGGTGGTTTATGTGTGTGCTTTTCTTCTCTGGAAAGTTTACTCTTCTTGCTATAATTGAATATTTCCAAGATTGACTGCTGAATAACAGGTGTTTTTATATAGGCAGAGACAACTTTGAAGCAGTTGGAGAACCTTAGCCCCCCTATCATGAAGCAGGTTCTTCCCTTGATTGAGCAACTTCCACCCTTGTACATGGACTTGGCTAAAGGAAGAGAAAATTTCAGTCCAAAACCTGAAGAAACTCGACGCCTTGTATGTGGAACCTCCTCTTTAAATTAGTCTATTTCTGCTTTCATCTGATTTGTGTTTCTAGAGTACTCTCTTTCCTTTTGCCCTCCTCCCTCCCCTTCAGCTGGGGATAATTATGATCCTAAGTAATTTCAAATCTCTGGGCAGTTCTTGAACAGATAACCTCCACTCTGGCATTAGTTATCTAGTATTGGGTGTAACTAATAACCTTTTGGAGATATAATGGAATTAATTAAGGTTTTGTTTTACTTCTAAGTGATATAATTAACCTAAAGTATGCCCTTTTTGAATTTTGGCTCGAAACATGATAACTTGCTGAAAATGCTTGACAGTTCACCTGTCTACTAAATTTTTGTGTGTACTATATTCATACAAATTTACCTGATTTATTCTTCTACTGAGTGTTCCAGATTAAAACGTACTATGGCATTAGCAGGAATCTTTTAATAAAGTTTAAAGATGATATTATAGACGAGACGTCAACACTGGCGCAAGTATTGAGTGTTGATTCTGCTATTAGTTCTGAGCTGGATATGTCCATTCGTGCAGTGCCGGGCGACCATGGTACACCTTTGCAGCAGGTGAATTTTGTCTAAGCAATAGGCCTAAATTTTCTCATGTACTATGAATTCTATGATTGCGTAAGACTGGCTTCTTAATGTATCAGTGTACTTTTCAGCGACAAAATATGACTGACTGATTAACCTTTTGTTTGGCAGGCTCTCCCTGATGTTCCTCCTGCAATGGCTGATGCAGTTAATCGTGGAAGTGAGCTTTTGTCAAATTTGATTGCAGGGACTCCATGGGAGACGGTGGCTAAGGATGTCAGCACTTCACTGGGAATGGACTCTCAGATTCTTCGTGCAGAAACCTCCAAGGACATGGAGCACCTTATTGATGTGCTCAGTTCTTGGATGGCTTCCAATATTGGCCCAAAGCTTTTGAGGTGATGCCATGTATAGGATGCTAGCGAGTGATGGGCATTAGATATTTTACGAAGGGCCGCAGTTAAGATGTAATTGTTGTAAAGATAAATCTTTTAGTGCATTACATTAAATTGGTACGAGGTTTGAGTACCTTTATATCTGGCTGATTAGTATGTTAATATCTATGTAATTATTTCAAATACTACTTCAAAGCTCTAAAAAAACACAAACTCTTATATTTGGCTAGACACATGGTGTGGCCAATGTTGAATAATTTTGAGAATTTAGACAAATCCATGTTAATTAATTAGTCTACTTAGGCAAAGGTGTTGTAAACTAATTAATAAAGATTATTAAAGGAAAAATAATTTTGAAGGAAATTTATGTTCTCGGCAACGAGAAACATGTTTCTCTGTTTTGAAGAAGACAAAGTGTCTGTCCTCTTAGTGCCCGATCAGCAGCCCGGTCAGGGTGGTGCTCGCCCGACCGGGCGCGAGGCTGGCTGAAATTTTACCATCTCCACCGCCCGATCGGGCAGCCACCGCCCGATAGGGCGCGAGAAGAGCTGTGAATCGTCACTCCAGAACCGTCTGATCGAGCGGTGGCAGCCCGATCGGGCGCGCATGTCTGGGTGGTTGAATTGAGACGGTTTCCTTCAAGTGTCGGCAGTTATACATATGTTGGGATATACGTTCGAAGAAGAAAAAGTAAGGCAATTTTCTTAATTCTTCTTGAAACCTTCATTTGCAATTCTAATTATCATCATCATAATTACACAAGTTTTTATACATTGAATTGTAATCATCCTACTTGTGATTACAATTGTTCTTCGTTGTATCTCCTAAGTAAATTTCCGTGAAAACCCGGTTGTAGTATAAGGTCGTAATTATACTTTTAGGAAAGTGATTCCGTTCACGCCTCGAAGATTTTCCGTTCTAATTTGTTTGCTATTTTTGTGACCCTTGTTTAAACACAAATTTCCCCAACAATCCAAAAGTATAATTAACAAAGATGGCAAATGTTAAGGAATTGATGGCCAATATTCAAAAGTTGGACAAATTAGAGGGTGTTGATTTCCGAAGGTGGCAGGGGAAGATGCATTTCTTCTTGACTACAGTTGGGGTGGCTTATGTTCTTGCTACTCCGAAACCCGAGGAGAAGGAGGAGGAAACTTTGGATGAAGCAAGGAAACACAAAAAGTGGGAGAATGACAATTATATGTGTTGTGGCCATATACTCAATGGTATGTCTGATGAACTCTTTGATATCTATCAGTTTAATGATTCTACTAAGTCTCTATGGGATGATTTAGAGGCTAAATATATGGCTGAAGATGCTTCTAGCAAGAAGTTTCTTGTTAGTAAATTTAATAATTATAAGATTATTGATAGTAGGCCAATTATGGAACAATTTCATGAGATACAAAGAGTATTAGGAAGTCTTAGACAGCATAACATAGTTCTTGATGAGACCTTTGTAGTGTCATCTATAATAGACAAATTACCTTTTTCTTGGAAAGACTTTAAAAGTGGTTTAAAGCATAGGAAGGATGATATTAACCTTGAGAGTTTGGCTTCTCACATCCGGATTGAGGAAAAAATCCGGGTGCAAGAGGGAAATAAGGATGCAAATCCTAGTTCTACTATGGTAAATGTAGTGGAGGATGCCAAACAAAATGTGATAAAAGGGGGTAATGACTCAAACAAAATAAAGGCAAGAAGCTTAAGTTAAGCGGTGATGGTTCAAAGTCACGTGCTTGTTGGGTTTGTGGAAAACCCGGTCACTTCAAGAAAGATTGCATAATCTGGAAGAAAAGGATGAGCAAGAAGAAGGCTCAATATAGGAATGGCAATGCTAGCCAATCCCAAGACAAACAAGGTAAATCTTTTGCACAAATTTCATTTAATTCATTTATGAATTATATGTGTATGATTTCAGAAATCAATTGTGTACAGGCTGATTGTTCGTGGTATATCGATTCAGAAGCATCGAGGCACGTGTGCAAGGATAGATCATTGTTCAAGACCTTCTTGGAGGTTGATGATGGAGAAATTCTCTATATGGGCAATGACTCTACAGCTAAGGTGCTTGGCAAAGGACAAGTGGAGCTAGTCTTTAGTTCGGGAAAATCTCTTATTTTAAGAGATGTGTTGTATTTTCCCGAATTTAGGAGAAATCTTGTATCCAGTGCGATCTTGAATCGATTAGGTTTTAAGATGGTGTTTGAGTCAAATAAATTTATTTTGTCTAAAGGAGGTCAATTTGTAGGACTTGGTTATTTGTGTAATGGTATGTTTAAGTTAAGTATATCAAATACTTTGAATGATGTTGTGTATGTTGTTAATGATAATTCTTCTCTATGGCATTTGCGACTTGGTCATGTTAATTATAAAAAGTTGTATTTTATGTCAAAGCATGATATGATACCTGTATTTGATCCAAGAATAGAGAAGTGTAAGACATGCATGTTAACCAAAATCACAAGGAAACCATTTTCTAATGTTGTTGAGAAAAATAATTCATTGCTTGATTTAGTGCATTGTAATTTGTGTGATTTTCACAACACACCTTCTTTAGGGAATAAAAAATATTCGGTAACTTTTATTGATGATTATTCAATGTTTTGTTACATTTATTTGTTATTTTCTAAAGATGAAGCCCTTGACAAATTTAAAATCTACAAAAGTGAAGTAGAATTGCAAACCAATGAAAAGATTAAAAAGTTAAGAACTGATAAAGGAGGTGAATACTATGACCCAAGTTATTTCCAATCTTTAGGTTTAGTACATGAAACTACCGCGGCATATACACCACAACAAAATGGTGTAGCGGAAAGGAAGAATAGGACACTGGAAGAAATGGTAAATTCTATGTTGTCATATTCAGGTTTAAGTGATGGATTTTGGGGTGAAGCCGTTTTAACGGCTTGTTACGTGTTAAATCGTGTTCCCATGAAAGGGAAAGATGTAACCCCATATGAGCTATGTTATAAAAGGAAACCAAACTTGAGTCATCTCAAAGTTTGGGGTTGTAGGGCAATTGTAAAAGTGCCGGAACCTAAACGTAAAAAATTAGGTGAAAGAGGAGTTGAATGCATTTTTATAGGATATGCGGATCATATAAAATCCTATAGGTTCTATGTAATAGAACAAAATGACTTTTGGTCGGTTCACACCACCATTGAGTCAAGGGATGCATTGTTTGATGAAAATCGATTTTCTTCAATTCCTAGACCAAAGGACATAACTCCAAATGCCAATGCTCAAAGTATTGATCAAATTGTCATTGATCAAGAGGTGGATGACCAAACTCATTTAGAGGAGGAATCTACATCATCATCACAAACTAGGAGAAGTAAGAGGGCAAGGAAAGAAAAATATTTTGGCCCGGACTTTCATGTGTACTTAGTTGAAGGATCAAGGGAATCTGTTTTAACACAATTTCCATACATTTTTAATGTGAAAGATGATCCTTTGACCTATGATGAGGCTATGAGGTCTCGTGATCCTCCATTTTGGAAGGAAGCTATTAATGATGAGATGGAATCCATCATGGAAAACAATACTTGGCTTTTAGCTACTTTACCACCAAAATTAAACCAATTGGGTGCAAATGGATCTTCAAAAGGAAATTGAGGATTGATGGAACGATTGAAAATTTCAAAGCCCGGTTAGTGGAACAAGGTTTTACACAAAAACCTGGTATCAATTATTTCGATACATATGCACCTCAACTATAAGATTGTTGATAGCACTTGCGGCTATCCACAATCTTGTGATCCATCAAATGGATGTCAAGACAACATTCTTGAATGGAGATCTAGAGGAAGAAGTTTACATGCGACAACCGGAAGGGTTTGTTGTGGAAGGTCAGGAAGAAAAGGTCTGCAAGTTGATTAAATCTTTGTATGGGCTAAAGCAAGCACCTAAGCAATGGCATCAAAAATTTGATGAGGTTGTGTTGTCTAATGGTTTTAAGTTGAACAATTCAGACAAGTGTATTTATAGCAAATTTGATGACAACGGTCAAGGTGTCATAATTTGTCTATATGTAGATGACATGTTGATCTTTGGAACCGATTTGTCACAGGTTGAAAAGACAAAGTCATTCCTTAGTTCAAAGTTTTCCATGAAAGACATGGGGGAAGCGGATGTCATCTTGGGCATAAGGATAAAGAGGGAAAAAGAAAAGTTGATCTGGTCATAATCTCATTACATTGAGAAAGTGCTCAAGAAATTCAATGTGAGTGAAGACACTACTTCTCTTTATTCAACACCTATGGATCCTAGCATAAAGTTGATACCTAATGAAGGTTATGCGGTTTCACAACTTGAATATGCTAGAGTAATAGGTTGTTTGATGTATGCCATGACAAGTACTAGACCAGATATTGCTTATGCAGTTGGTCAACTGAGTAGGTACACTAACAAGCCTAGTATGCTACATTGGCAAGCAGTTCGACGCTTGTTGAAGTACTTGAAGAAAACCAAGGAATTTGGTTTGTCTTATAGTGGATATCCTTCGGTTGTAGAAGGGTATTCAGATGCAAGTTGGATCTCTAACAAAGATCATTCCTCCACAAGTAGATGGGTTTTTCGATATGGGGGAGGTGCCATTTCATGGGCTTCAAAGAAACAAACTTGTATTGTGGACTCCACAATGACATCGGAGTTCATTGCTTTGCATTCGGCTGGTAAAGAAGCCGAATGGTTAAAGGATCTCATGTTTGAGATTCCTTTGTTGCCAAAACCGATATCACCAATAGTGATACATTGTGATAACAATGCTACCTTGGCAAGGGCTTATAGCCAAGTTTATAATGGTAAGTCAAGGCACATTGGAGTACGAAATAGCTACATCCAAGGGATTATCAAGGATAATGTGATCACTATTGATTATGTTCGAACGGATCTTAATCTCGCCGACTGTTTTACAAAGGCATTGGCTAGAGATGTTAACAATAGGATAGCAATCGGTTTAGGATTGGAGCCCTAAATAATCACAATTAGGAGAATCTCAACTTAACGCCCAATAAGACGTTGGGTCTTAAGTTCAATGAGATTAATTCTCTTAATTGATGATTGGGAACTTGTTTATTAATCCAAGTTAAAGTTCCGGTTTTCTGTGATGAAAAGAGGTTGTTTTTAAACTTAATAGAATTCCTGATAAAAGTGCTTTGGTCACAAGTTCATGTTGGAACTCTACCTATATAAGTACGAGGTTTAGCCGCTTCAAGAAGCTATTAGGGGTGTAGCTTTGATGTACTTATGA